GCACAAACCACCACCTGTGTGGCAATGGGTACACAGTGCCTGTGCTGCACACGAGTGACCATGTCCTGGGAGCTGCTCCTACCCCCTGGAGCACCCTTCCCTGCAGGTGGCATGGTATGGGTGTCTCAGCCTTACTTCCCAGGGAAATGGTGGAATCACCATCCCTGGAAGTGTTCACAAACTGTGACCGCAAATCAGTGCCATGGGTTAGTGGTGGCCTTGGCAGTGCTGGGAATGGTTGGACTGGATGATCTTAAAGGTCTTTTCCAGCCTGGTTGATTCCATGATTCTGTGATTATCCCTCTACTTGTGCCATGTCCTCACCTGGCCCTAAAGACACCCTGAGAAACACAAGTGGCTTTGGAGCCCTCCTGGGTGCAGGGTGGTGAGAGGAGCTGCACAGAAGCCACAGGAACAGCCGAGCCCTCCTGAGGCCAATTACACTGAGGAGCAGTTGGGCTCTGCTAAGGCAGGGAGGAAAAGCAGCACACGCTCAGCACCCAGTCTGGGCCAGGCAGGATGGGGGAGCTGCGGATGCAGGCTCTGGGAGCCCCATGGGGAGGGCTGCTTGGCTCAGTGATGTGGCTCTGCTGCAAGGCTGCAGGGGGCAGGCTGTGGGTACTCCCACGGCTGTGGGGCAGTGCTGCCATTTGGGATGCGGGGAGAAGGGGAATCTGAAGAAGGGGTGTCTGGCCCCCATTTGGTGGCTGTCCAGTTCCCACTGTCACATCTGAGCATCTCCAGGGACAGAGATCCCCCTCCAGATCCTGCCTGCGGCTTGATGGTCCACTCCAGGATGTTCCATCCCCCTTGCACAGGGGACACAGCACATGAGGAGCAACCTATGACCTGCCATTGACCTGCTGGATCCCATTGGCACCAGGCCCAGCAGCAGCCAGCCCTGGGGCAGCCCCTGTGTTCTGCAGTGGTCACAGCTGCTCCCAATCCAGCCAATCTCATCCCAAAATAAGGGTTGAGGCAGAGGCCAACCATGGCTTTTATGTGCTTTCTGCTGGGAGAGCAGGATGTGACCATGGGGATGAGGTAGAATTATCCTTGTGGGAGACAGCTTTGATATATATGGGGGGGGGGGAGGAATTTTGGAAGCAGATCTGGACTCTCCTTTCAGCTTGAGGACACTGGGAATCATGAAACCCTAAAGGCAATAAGGAATTCTCTGTCCTGGTTTCTCCTCTCAGCTCCCTGTTGGTAGTACTGGGGGAGCTGCTCTCTCCTTCCCTCCAGTAGTGGTGGCACTGGTAGGGCTGCAAAAAGCTGGCAGCCCCCTTGGCCCTTGGTCCAGTTCTTTATCTGGTTTTGCCACGCACAACTGTATAGTTTCTGTTGTAAATCCCCTGGAAGAAGAGGAGCCCCCAGCACCCCCCAACCCCCCATGCCAGGGGACTGGAAACCACGACCCTGCTAGGAGAAAATATTCCAGCCTGCCGGAGCCAGTCGAGGGCTTTAAAGTAAGAAAGGGTGAATATAAAGGAGGCACCAGGCGAGGCCTGAAACAATCTCGTTTTGTTCAGCTTCTGAAAGCAACAAAACCAACTTGGACGTGAAGTTTTGCTTTCAGTGAGCTGGTCTGGTGTGGGGGTGATGCTGTAAGCAGCAGGCAGGAGGTGCAGCTCTGGGGTGGGAGCACTGGGGCAGGCAGGAC